CCCTCCATCTCTTATGCATTCTTGCAGACTGGCCTAGCGCTCACAGAAAATGTTACCATTTTCGTCGTTTCCTTTCAATTTTTTTTTGATTTTATCTAGGAGTGAAGTAGCGTCTACTACCTATAAGCGAGCTCCTCTATGTTTTCCGTTTATCGAAAATGTTTCCTCCAGCAGATAGAGGCAAAGCAAAAGCACGTGCCAATAGTAATTTGATATTGCCCAAAGAAGAATTGATGTGCACACATTTTTCTAACCTGCACAACTGTAAATAGCGATATATAAAGCTGTTTGTAATCGAGAGAACTGCGACAAAAAATGTCATGCAGTAGGTGAAATGCAAAATATATGAGAACGGATGCTGGAGTGTAATACCAGTAGCGATAAATATCATAACGTTGCCTTGTGAAAATACTCGCTGGAAAATGAAAAATATGAGGAAGCCATATTTGTTTCCGCCAGGAGATCCAGAGTGTTCCGTGCAAATGTTAGGACACCAGATGTCCAAGATAAGTCTACCGAACATCGAGGAATCCTCGTTATTATAGGAACTTTGCCTTCTGGGCTTATGCAGCAAGTCGTTGGAGCACCTAATAATAACTATTCCTAACCTCGACCTCGAGAACTCCCTTAAAAGAAGTGTGCAATCAAACTTATGGTATTCCCGATTCTCGGCCAAATTAATTCCCAAAAAAATGAAGAATTAGTTTTCTTACCGGCATGTCCAATGTAAAAGTAACGGAATAGATCACGTCTTCTATGACAATGACCAAGAAAAAGTGCTTATATAAGCTGATCTTTCTTAGTGGACAGCGGACGTATACGACGAGAAGGATCAAATTGGTTATTAGAGAAATAGTAGAAATTACGAATACTGCGGCTGTGAGCAGATCGTTCGACATTGTGGACACTTCGACCAAAATGTAGAAGATGATAACAGTGAAACTGCCAGGAGGCGTCGACAGATGAACATGAATGCTATAGTTAAAATGCTGTCTCCGATAATACGAGGTTAGAATTGGATAGCGTGTTTTGCGTGGAAGTCATCGTCAGAGTGTTATTAAAGAAGAAAATGAAGTCTTTTCACATAAAAATCATTTACTTCAAGGAGCATTAACTCTATGAAAAGTGGAAGGGAGCTTTTCAGGTTTTTACGCCACTGATGTGTGTTGCATGCTTGCGTGCACTGAAGAACTCCTGAGGTCATTTTTTTACCGGAAAGCGAATTTAAATTTTACAACTGAATTTAAAAAACCATCAGAAGAGTTCATCGAGCAAACTAAATCATTTCACTTCAACTACTTTACTTGTTTGTTTGAATACTTATTGTAGGGAGTTTGATTCAGCTTGCTCGCCCTATTTTTATATTGAAGGATATCCAACTCACTCGCCTGATAATGCTTACAGATTCCCACAAACCACGCCAAACATTGTTTCCTGAGAGATCTTCCAATATATAATTCGCGAAGATTGCTAAGGGGAGCTGGAACACAAGTATCATCAATAATAGTGCGTGTCCAAACAGGAGTGAGGCGTCGGCTACAGCAATAGATGTAAAGGGTGGAAGGAACATGGTAGGTGAGGGACAGAAGTTGATGACAGCTGATGAGGGCTGATAATAACGATACACGTAAAAACATAGAGGCGCATAAAACCAAGTACTAAATAAGAACATCAAATCTGATTTCATTTTTATTACTGTCGTAAGTGTGCAGGTCTTTGGAATCCATCGAATCCGCTCTTTATGCTTTTTGCGCTCACTCCGAACTTCCAGTGCTAATGGCTCCTCCACAATCAACTTCTTGCACTAAAAGTGTTATATATTCAATGGAGGAATAGAACGAATGCTCTCATTATTATCTCGCTCACAATATTGTTCCCCCAATGTGATCTTACTCTTAAATCTTCAAGAATAAAAGGAAACTATGTACGTAATTAGATCTGTCACTGATTCCTGATTCTCATAGAGTGAGGAAGTAACCGTCATTATTCCGGGGAGATATTGTCACCATGCAGTGCATTTGGGCCACTCCTATGAATACTACGCAATTTTAGATTTTGCAGTTTGCGCGGTTTGCGGCGGTTAACAGATGCAGCAGCTCACAGCAAAGCGATTACGCAGCAAGCAGTAGCAACCTTGCGGGTTCCACCAGCTCGGACTCTTTTCTCCTTCTGTTATTTTTTGCCTTCCCGTTATTTACCGCTGCTTTTATGCAGCAGGAATCAGTTGCTGTAGCTTGGCTCTTGAGAAAAACCATATGTGCTGGAGCAATATGGCTAGCACATAACGATGTACATAACGATGTGCGATACAGTCTAAACTTATTATACTTCTGCATGTTTTCGCAATCACACATTAATGAAGGCAAATGGAAATGATGAAGAAAGTTGCCATAATTTTTTTGCTTGTTCATTCCTATTTCCCCGTGCTGCACGCTAAAAATGTTTATACTGTGACGAAAGCGAAACGCAACCCGTCAATCACAGTTACGAATCGCAAAGTACGGCCCTGAGTGGGCCAGTCAGCGAGTTATCGACGTAGTATGATGTTTTACAATGTACCGCACATCGATTATTAAAACGACAATGTGGAATGGAGATAACATTTTTATTTGACTGCCTTCATGGTCATGTCGATTCTGAGAGCATTACACATAATGAGACATCTTTGAGCCTTTGTAAAAACGTAGATTTCTTGTACGCTCCAAAAACAATGAATTTTTGTCACACAACTCAATGTTACATGAGAGGAGTAATATATCAGCTATTGCGAAAATGATAACAAGAGAAAGCATGTGCCATGACAGAGTACTGCGTGCATAAATGTTCGATTCGAAGAAGAAACGTAAGAAATCCACATGACTGAAATAACCGTCCATCAGAAGGTCACAGATAGTCCTACACATGTATAAAGGACCTACGAGAAATGTCCGTAGTCCATTGTTGGCCAACAAATGAAAAACTTGCTGTATGTGCTGATGAAATCTTCGGTTTTAGTTTACCAAGTATGAAGTTTCTATATTCTTTTACAAAAATGACAATAATTATCGGATTGATTGTCGGATACAAGGCAAATAGGATCCGATATCGCATTTGTGATATGCTGGGTGGAGTTCATACCAGTAAAAAGCATTGACATAGCAAAGCAGTACGGCGCAACCAAGAAAGCGAGAGGCACGGTCGCCTAAAAGAAGGAGCACTTGAAAAAATCATAATTTAACCCATGACAAAAAGGTTTACAAATGTACATTGGAATGTACCTCCTCTGCCATTTTTCCCTTGTATTTCCTGATACTGGCTGCTGTTATTTGACACGGGAAAACAGTTCCTCTTCTTTCATTTCCATGAAAGAAGAGGAACTGTTTTCCTAAGAGCTTGTCATGTTCGCGGTTGGATGATTAACACTTCTCATCATGTCAGACTGAATCACTTTTCCCCTTCTGTGATACCGGCGTTGTTGTTTCTTTATGAGCTTGCTACTTTTTCAGCTTCCTTGGCCACTTGTGCTTACCATTTCATGTCATTTCCCCAGCTCCTGTGTTCTACTAATGTTCTACCAAGAATTATGAGCACATGCACTGGTTTATCTTCTAAAAAATCGTTGTGTGCCACGAAATTCATAACACATGTCACAGCAATTGTGGAACATTGGTTTTTACATTTGGTGATCCAAAGTGATAACTGCTGATAACCGCTGACAAGGAGGGTTGAATTATTACCACCTAATAGGTTGCGCCCTTTGCACTGACAGTGGAAACCTGGTTCTAATGTATGATATAAAGGGCTGGACGGGAACGCAAGTGATGGGAGAATGATAACGACTCAGAGCAGCTTGACTGTTCTTATCAGCTAAGAGGTGATAAGAACAGTCAAGACGTGATTACCACCGATTACGTCACAATGACAATAGAACATTTATTTTTACACATGACCTAGGAAGCTGAACCGCGATACAGAAGGTGAGCAATCAAAGGTATTACTGACTGCTGAGGGCAGTTGAAGGTTGTTGAGGGTTGTTGAGAGGCAGTTGAATTCGGATTTTATCAAATTCGCTGCTCTCACAACGGTTCAGTGGAACATCTGTTTCAAAGAATATGTGGGTCGGACGGGGCCACGGATTGTACGAGTGAAAATGGTAACGACTGTTATGGGCTGATATGTGCCGCTAGAGTGAGTATTCTCGATAGGATGCATTGCTCATCCTCAGTGGCTAAGGTGGTAGTAAGTTGGAGATAGGTGACAGTGGGTCATAATGAGCGACAATGGTGTTGATGGAAGTCAACGATCTGAACCCTGATGTTTAATACTTTAATGAATATTTTTTCCACTTGCCTTTTTGATTTCGCACAGATTTTCCATTTTTCTTAATCTTACTACCGTAATTTGTGGTCTTCTCTATAATAGCTCGCAGCTTGACCCTCGCCCTCGGTTTTATTTATTATACTAGGTCGTCCTTGATGCCACTCTTGTCATACCGCTTTTCTGTGCTTCTTCTTCTTCCTTCTGTGCAAATTTCGCAGCAAATTCTTTGGCGCGGTTTCTCTTGCTACATAGTTTGAGAAAGGTTGTTTTCCCCGCTTTCTCAAAGTACTCCGGCAGTCAGCATCGCTTGACTTTTTTTGCTTATAAATGGAGGCATCAAACTAGCCGTTCTGGCTAATGTACTTTTGACTCCAGCTCGGTCGAGATGGAGCAGAAATAGCTTGAAGCAGGAAAGTACTATAAAAAGAACTGTTCATCACTAGTTCAAAAGTGGAGCAAAGCGTGGCTAAGCTACCATCGAGATGAGAAAGGCCGCCCACGTGATTCTATGCTCGATTGCTCAATTACAAGAGAGAACGTGAAAGAAGACAACGTGCTGCTGTGCAAAACTACCAGCGTTCTAGGTGTACTACTGCAACTTTGGAGATCGAGGGAAGTGGACCATTATACAATATTTTCTATAGTTGAACATGCGAAAGAGTGGAGTGGAGGGTGTGTGAATTTGTCAACGCTTCTTTTGTGCAACAAGAACGACCCTCTTTTCAGAGATCTGTACTTTACGACTAGAACCACATCCTTTATGCTGCTCTGGGGATACCATCTTCCCGAACAACAAACAAAAGTATGGCAATTAAAGGTCATGCTGAAGCATGGTCCTGATTCGTGGCAGCTCCTTAAAAGTCATTGAAACGATTAGGCAGGAACGAATCTTAATAAGTTCACTCAAACCATCAAAAACCTTGGCGATCTTGGTCGGAAGTGAAGGAGTTATTCTTCCCTCACATTTGCAGCCACCACGCAGCTCAGCTAATTTTCCACAACCCGAAATAAATTGGGATACGAAGCCCTGCCTTACTCGATATATTTGATGGACTTCTTCCTCACGGATCACCACTTTTCGAAGAGCCTCGATAATTTCTTCAAGTAAAACTACTTTAATAGACAAGCACATCTGGATGGCAACTTCCCAGTACTCTACTGAAACTAAAAACATAACAATTTCATTGAAAACGTACCTGGACAAGTAGTAGGATAAACATTTGGCGCTGCAGCGTCAAAAAACTTGTGCAACGTGCAGTGTTTTTAAGAAAGATTTTAACCTTTCTTGCACAATATATATTGATAGTGGCCATAAAAACCAAAACAAGCACCAATTCAATAATCAGCGCAATATGAGAGGCGCCCATGCCGTACTGAAGGACGAAAATATATGTGAATATAAGAACTTCCGAAATCGTCAACACAAGAGCCTTATTACTGCTTAATTTTGCTTTTCAAAGGCACTATTCTTTCCTCCACTCGTTATAGATCACTCAATCCGTATTTCAAGGGGAAGGAGTACACAGGAACCACAATTTTTACGAATTCATCTGTTCGCTGAGTACCCTGGCATACATGGTCGGTATTACCCAGTAAACCTCCTGTGTCTGCCCTATCCCCACGATTTAATC